GAGTGATCCTTATTGGCTTACTCCTCATGACTTATATAGCCTGCTTTCTTACATCATCCAAGACTACCTGCCTAGGGGTGGCACCACCCATAGTGGACTGAACCCTTCCATCGCAACGAGTAGTTTATAAAATGTACCATAGGCTTGCCCACAGGTCAATCTGGTAGTGGTATTTTCTCAGTTGAGGTTCCCTCTTCTGAAATGACTCTAGCCTATGTCAAGCTGACATAAAAACTAGCCAGCACAGAGAAGAGTTCAGTAGTAGAGAAGCTGGCCTAGGATACACATAGCCCTTGCTTCAATACCCATGAATGCAAAAAGGAAAGAAAGAGAAAACACATCAAGTTGTGTGGTTTATGTTTGCTCTATTGCACATCAGTGATACTTCAGTAGAGTTCTTTATAAGCCCCCAAACAGCAGGCATCCCTCAGGACCTGATGTGTGTTAATGGCTGGATTCCAAGATGCAGAGCCCGGGAGGGGGGAGCAGAGGCTGGGCAGAGGGATAAGCTGGGCTACAGTACAGCAGAAAACCCCTGGGATCTCTGGCCTAGGACAGCCCTTAAGAATTGTCCTGCATTGTGGTCTGGGAGCCTGGAATTTATCCTTCCACATTGGAAGCAGCTACTGAAGGCTGTTCTCTGAGAGACTGTGTGGGTCTATGCTTCTGGGCTTGGGTATCAATCAGTAGGAACACGGTCTGAGTGGGTCTTTACCACCTCTCTGGAGTCTAGACATTTAAAGCTGTATTTATGTCTGTTTTTTATTTTATCAGAGAAAGAATTAGCTGTGGTTCATTCCCACTTGGTGGATCTCACAACTCCCTTTAAGTCACTTGGTGATATCAAAAAAGTTGCCCTGCCAGACTGTCTGCAAAAGGTAGCATAAAAAATGAGGCTGTGTTGACTTCTGAGCCAGCCTTTATTGAGCTATCCAAGGAGGACTCTTGTTTGTTTGGTGGGGGGCGGGAGCAGTTTCACCTTCTGTGATTTCAGTTACTCACAGTCAACTTCTTGTTGAACATGTTCAAATTTATCTTGACTCTTTTGGGGTGGGATAGGAAGGAGGAGGGGAGAGAGTGAAAGAGAGAGAGAGAGGGAGAGAGAGAGAGAGAGAGAATCATATCCACATAACTTTTAGTGTAGTTGTTATAATTGCTCTGTTATTCATACTACTGTGCCTAATACACATTACTCTTTACCAGAGGTATGCATGTATGTATGTATGTATGTATGTATGTATGTATGTATATATGATTGTATATATGTATGATTGTATGATTGTATGTATGATTGTATGTATGTATGTATGATTGTATGTATGTATGTATGATTGTATGTATGTATGATTGTATGTATGTATGTGTATTAACTGTTTAGTACTATCTCCTATCTCCATGGCATGTTGATTTGTAGATTCGGGAGACCACTTCTTACACTGCTGTTGAGATGGCAGACACTTCTCCTTTTTCCTAACTGAAAGTCCACAATGGCACAGATTGCAGATTGTCTGGGGGAAAGCACAATATTTGTTTTCATTTCTGCAAAGCAGCTTATGCTTAAAGACATTTCCAGCAGTCGTGCCTGCAGAAATTTGCCTCTTAGAAACAGGCTTTTAGAAAGTGGGTTAAAGCAGCTTGTCTTTCACCCATGAGACGTTGTCTCTAAGTCCCACACCCGCACGGCTCTCCAGGGTCCTGTGGGGTGCTGTGACCTGAAAAGGTACTTGCCACTGTACTGTCTTGTATGGCATCTAGGTGTATTCTTACGTTTCAAGCAGTTAATGTGCCAAGCATTGTTCTCTGTGTCTCAAACATATTAGCCCATTTAACTTACTCTTTCCAGCAAGCTCATGGAATAAATACCTTTTAACAAATGAGCAAGAAAGACCTCTGACTTATGGACTATAAATTTGGAGAGTCACATACTTATACTCACTTAGCCATTTTAAATCTACCTTCAAGAATGAATATCAGAATTTTTAAAGGTTCCCTTCTGATTGTTTCAGCTCCTATAATACCAAACTGGCCTAAACTAAAGTTTGTTAAGTTTACCCCTAAGGTATCTGAGGAATACATAAACTTATATAAAATTTGTCTAGTTTTTTTTGACAAGTCTTTGAATGCCATCATTTCTCCAAATGTTCAGCTCCAGAAGGCTTAAGACATTTCCTTTTTTCCCATGCTTGGGTACCAGATCATTGTCTGTCTATGGTGTACTTTGTGTTCATGAAATGATTTAGAAGACTTAGGAACTCCCCATTCTTCTGAAACTCAGTCTTCATTGCACAGAGTTAGAATAGCTGTCCCTGAAAAGTTGAAGGAATTGAGGTGGCCTGGGAAGAACTGGACTCCAAGATGGTTGCCCATGCTCATGTGTTTTCTGTCAATATGATGACATGCCTGAAGCTGGTATTTCTACAGAAGAGCTTTGTTCAGCCCAGAGTTGTGAAGACTCAAAGCTGTGACATTGGCATCGACTCTGCTCTGGTATGGACCTTGTGACATCACGTTAGCACTTCCAAGAGGGAGTGATTGAACGGTGAGAGAGGAAGCCAGGTGCGACCCAGCAGTCAGTTTTACTCTTTTATGACAACTTATGCTAAGAACTAACCAGGGGAACCACGAGTCCCTGAACATTACCTTAGTCCCATCCAATGAGTATTCTCAGTGCGCTGAGCACCTCCCAACAGTCTCCTCCTAATGTCACCACGCTGAGAGCTAAGTTTCCAACATGTAAGCCTTTGAGGGACAAACTACATTTAAACCATCACAGTCTCCATCACCAGGATCCTAGGCACCAGTCTGACAGTGACATTCCCTTCCCTTTCCAGGGAAGGCGCTTGTCAGATGGGAAGAATAGAGCAGGTGTGTGTGGGGAGGGCACATTTGTTTTGTAGAAATGGCAATGGAAAGAGACCTACCCACCCTTCCTATCAGAGAAGAAATAGTTACGGGTCTTCAGTCTTATGAATTATTGTATGAACATGAAGCATATCATAGATTTACAACAATCTGGCACCCAAGCAAGGCAGAAAAGAAATGCCCTTAAAACTTCTAGAGCTGAACATTTAAAGAAATCATAATATTCAACCAAAAAAAAAACTGGACAAATTCAATGCTTTTATGTAAGTTTAGGTATTTGGGTCCAAATAAAACCTCTAGGACCCACTGCTCCTGGGAGGTAAGACTGAACTGGGTGTGGGGGTCTGTCACCTGAGAGCTTGGGGAAACCTGCATTTGGAAGGTCATTTTTCACAGACAAACCAGCCTCCAGAAGCTAAGTGTCTTTAGAGAGGGGCTGAAACCAACCTGTGTGCAGCTCCAGAGTGTGTGGCCAGGTGCTGGTGGTGAACGCATCCCAGCCAGGAACAAATGCATGGCTCTTCAGCCTTGCCTGCCTGGACATGTGAGCTTAATTACTCTGCTGTGCTCTAGAAACGGTGCTGGCTTGACCTTGAGATCTCTGAGCACGAGCCAGGCCCTGCTGGGTTTGCAAATATCTCCTATTGTGGGTACAGCTCAGAGTGCCCAATTGGGCAGCTTGTTTCCTGCGGTTCTAAGAGATGCCCCATAGCCACAGGGCATTTTGCTTGTGCCTCTTTTACCAGCCTGGGCTTCTTCCATAATGATTGACGGTGATACCCCTTTGGGGGATTGACCAAATCTGAATTTATTCTTCTGACTCCCTGAGCCACCTTTACCTCAAGGTCGTCAACTGTGAAATAATTACCACCATGTATGCAAATGGTTTGCTTTTTCCATGAATGGAGCTGCTACTTGGGTGGGAAATTATTTCTGTTTCCTTTACCATGTGATAAACATTAAGGGCTCATGAATGCTCATTTACCAGTGCTTCATGACAGCTTTTTTTTTGTCACCATTTTTTATTCTAAAAGTATTTTAGGTGTACAGAAAACTTACCCAGATAGTAAGAGTTGGTCCTGGTCCCATTCTGTTTAGTTATCTGTTTACTTACCTTTGAGGTCCTGGGGATCAAACCCAGGGCTTTGTCATGTTATACTTAGTGCTGTACACTAAATCATACCTCTAGTGTGTGTTTCCACTGTGGTTAATACGTTACACAGCTATGGTATAGCTATCAGAGCTGAAGACTGGTCATGGTGCATTTTCCCAAACTAAATTCCTTACGTCATGCAGATTGCATGGTTGTCCTTTACGTCTTCTAGGATCCAATCCAGGATCCCACGGAGCTCTCTTCGTGATTTTATAGCTTAATCTCAGAGTATCTTACCTCGGAGCACTCAAAAGACAATAAAGAGCCAGTAGGAGGATGGGAGCTTCTCTTGCAGAGAACACATCTTAATAGTAACAATTAAACAACAATTAAAAACTTGACAACCAGCTGTCAATCTTGAGTTGCCATAGAGTTTTCCATTGGGCTAATTGTTCCGCCTGGGTTTGATGCAGTCACCTCTGTTAACGGGTTTTATACCCTCAAAAAACTAAAACTCCGAGTTTTGGTTCTCTCGTAGCGTATTTAGTGTTCATATTTCTCGTACACGAACGTTTCATGCTTGTGATATATATTCACACCTGGTCTATGTGTACCCGAGTCTCCATACCTGTTCACACTTGCCTTTCCTGCCATATTGAATCTTGAGACGCCATGTGGGTTCTCAGACATGTGGAACTCTTCCAGAGTTAGTCACCGTAATAAAAGGTTTGCCTTTAGAAAAGCTAGGTTAGACGTCATCTCGTATTTGCAAACTGATTTTAGCAACTGTTATTAGTACCACTGTTGTTGGGTTCGGCTTTTAAGGAATATAGAAGTCTTTATGTGAAAACCCCTCAGTTTGCCCAAACTAGTTGGTCTAAAGAAAAGTACATTTGAAAGAAAACACAGTAGAGAGGTGTTCACACCAACTAAACATATTACAGTAACATAGTTTAGATTCCTTTGCCAGATGTAGAAAATGCTTAATATAAGACCAAAGGAAGGGTATAATTTTTTTGAAACACCATATTCTTTTTTTTCTAAGGCCCACAGAGACAATTATATGATTGGAAAATCATTCCCAGGAGGCAAGTTTAAAGGAACCAAGACTGCCTACACCAGAGGAGAGCAAGAGGTGAGATAATGGCCTCTCTTCTCTGTAGATCAGTGGTTCTCAACCTTCCTAATGCTGTGACCCTTTTATACAGTTCTTCATGTTGTGGTGACCCCCGACCATAACATTATTTCATTGTTACTTCATAACTGTAATTTTACTACTGTTATGAGTCATAGCATAAATATCTGATATGCAGGATATCTAACACGTGATTCCCAAATAGGTTGCAACCCACAGGTTGAGAACTACTGGAAGAGGAAGAGGCAGGGAGAGTACATACATAATGTTTTGTCTTCATCCCTGGACATGACAGAGGCCAGCATTTGTTTAAAAAGCTGTGATCCACTTTTAAGTTTTAGCATGCAAGGCCAATGCTAATAATTTGATTTTTTCCATGATACTATATCTGGAGTTAGGGAAAATGCACCCAGGGAAAATATCAACACCTCATGATAGCTTTGTGTTTCCAGAAGCCTGGCTTCCCATAAAGTCAGTTAATTAGGAGAAGTGGAATGATACACTCTTGCTTCCAATTAAAAGCAAGGCTTTATTACAGCAAATGACGTTAGCAATAACTGATACTATTAACTTTGTATTTAAATAAGGCATAAACTTTTAAAGACTTTTTAAAAAGTACAAATAAGGGCTAATTGGGTACCTCTCTTTCCCATTTAAAATTCTTGGCAACAATTTAATTGAGTTTTGTTTGTTTGTCTCGCAGGTTAGATAGGAACCGGCTCACTCTCAGTCTTTAGGCTGTGTATGTGTGCCTGTGTATGTGTGCCTGTGTATGTGTGCCCATGTGTCTGTGTGCCCATGTGTCTGTGTGTCCGTGTATGTATGTGTTCATGATCCACCCATTTTGAGATTTCAGGACAGCTAACCATTGAAAGCCTACAGATGAGTTTTCACATTGGGCCAGACAATCCATTTCCACCACCAGCTGCCCTATTCCTTTTCTGTCCTCGGGTCTTCTTCCCCTGCCTTTCCGTTCTCCAGTGGAGGTATAAAGAACTCTTTTTCTACTCCTTCAGTAGTGCATGGACCAGCTGCATGAGCCCCATGACGCTCTCCCAACCCCCAATCAGATGGGAGTCATTTATCTTTCTCTGGGCTGGACCAAGGCTCTGACTGTATCTCTTCGAGGGATCTCCTACCTGACCCCTGCCATCTGGTGTTTACCAGTTATTTGCATTCAGCCCTTAAGTTTTGCTCATTAAACACCACAGTTGGCAGACCTGTGGCTCCCCTGCCACTTTTATAGCTTGGCCTTGGGTACAGGCTGCTTCCAACAGAGCCTGAAGGTACGAAACCTCAGATATTAAAAACAAACAAACAAACAAACCCTCCAAAAGAAGGTCATACAATTTTCATTCAGGCTTAAAACAAGTTGTCCATAGTTCAATGGGGTAGGAGCATACTCTTTCCTTGGCCTTTTCTCTTCCTTCCTGTCTTTTAATCGTACTTATGAGAGTGTTTTAAAAAGTCACACAGGGCTAGCTAGATGACTTGGTGGTTAAGAGCACTCAATGTGCGACCATGAGCATGGGTTTAGATCCCAGGGCTTATCTAATAAACCGGTGTGACCCTGTGCACCTGTCACCCCGGGAGATGGAAAGAAGAGGATCACTAGGACTTGTGGGGACACAAAGGGGTCACCACATGTCTTCTGTCACACTTGACTTTGCTCTTTTGACACAATCTCTCCCTGATTCTAGAGCTTGTGATTTTTGGCAAGACTGGCAGCCACAAGTCCTTCTCGAGTGTTTTGTTTGCAGTTATGAAAACACAAAAGCAGCAAGAATTTTTGTCCATTCTGTCTGGTGTCCATTAGCCAACATCGTGAATACTGCCCAGCGGCAGTAGGCACTTGGGAGCTAAGTTTTGGAAGCTTGCTTTGCACTGTGACCTGGCTCCTTGCTCTCCATTGCCAAATTCCTTTTATTACTATAGTTTCACAACAAGCTTTATTTAATGGGTATAAGGCCAGGCTTTCTCTTTCACAAGCCCCTCTTTCATATTTTTTATGGCTATTATATTTTTCCTAGAGGATTTTTTCTAAAAGGACTCCTTGTTGGCATTTTAATTAGATTCATGCTGAATTTGCAGAAGGGGAATTAGTCACCTTTAAATTTTGTTTTTTGCTGCTTTGAGACACGGTCTCACTATGTAACTCTGTCTGGCCTCAAGCTCACTATAAACATAAGATAGATGGGCTCAGACTCACAGAGATCCACCTGCCTCCGTTCAGGTTGGCCTAGACTCACTATGTAGCCCAGGTGGGCCTTGAACCTGTGGCAGTCCTCCTGCCTTAGCTTCCTAAATACTGAGATTACAGGCATGAGCTATCACACCCAACTTCAACCCTTTAACCTAAAAGAAAACTGGACCTTTTCCATAACCTAAATTTTCATCTGGGGGCTTAGCCTCCCAAGTGCTGGGCTTAAAGGCATAAACCTCTACTCGCAGACCACTGTAATTTTCATATCATTATTCATATATATTAAAATGAGTATTTTTATAGGTTGTCTAATCTGTGATTATGCTAAATTTTCATTATATATAATATCTATGCACGCGCACGCACACACACACACACACACACACACACACACACATATATATATATATATAGAGAGAGATGTATTTTATAATATATATTAGGCTGGCATACAGGCTGTGTTCTGGGTAGTCCGACAGTGGTTATCTCACCACAAGAATCTGGTTGTTGTTCAGCAAGGCTCGCTGTGTCAGCACTTCCTGGTGCTGGAGCACTAGAGGGTTCTTGGAGAGCTGCTGGCCTTGGAATCTCTAAGAAGTAGGTCCTAATGCAGGTGAAGGCGTGCCCCAGCAGCAGGGTAGATGAACTTGCACACAAGAGTGAAGGCAAACAGGCAAGAAGCAAAAGCTTCCTTCTTCCCAGTCCATTTATGTGGGCTGCCACCAGAAGGTAAGGCCCAGAGTTAGCTGGGCCTTTCTGCCGCAGATAATCCAAACAAGAAACTTCCTTACTGGTGTGCCTGGAAGCTTGGGTTTTAGTTGATTCTAGATGCAGCCGGATTGACGATCAAGATTAGCCACCACAAAGCCTGAAGTGATGAGAAGGAGTTGGATGTTCACAGCAAGGCCAGGTTGGCCCGTGAAGGCTATCCGGAGGCGATGCCCAGGTCTGGCACGGAAATACCAGCGCCTGAGCTCAGCCACGTTCTCGGCTTCTCTCTGAAGATTGCCTTTCCTTTGTTTTCCAGGGCTGTGTCCCTCTTTGTATCTGAGACCTGAACAGAATGATCTGTAATCGTTAGCTTTCTGTTGCTGTGGTAAAACACCGTGACTAAGGTAACTTATAAAGAAACTGTTTCATTGGGCTTACGGTTTCAGACGGTGACGGTCCACGGTAGTTTGGTGGTAGGAATATCTGAGAGTTCACATCTCACAAGCAGGAGGCAAGGAATATACCTGCTGGGACATGAGTCTCTTGAAATGCCAAGCCTGTCCCAGATGGCGCACTGTCTCCAACAAGACCTCATCTCCTAATCCTCCTCAGACAGTTCCACCAATTGGGGACCAAGAATTCAAACATATGGGGCCATTCTCTTTCAAACCACCATGGTAGCCGTATTGTACCAGCGTTCTCTTCATGTCAGTGTTTTCTAGCTAGCATGCTCCTTAAAACCCTTCCAATCTCTGCCCTCTGTCTCAAAATAGTAGTTACAAAAATACTTCCATATTTTTAGTTATTTGCTACAGCAGTATTCTATTTCTTAGTATTAGTCAGCTAAAGCTGCTGTAACAAAATACCAAGGGTTTGGTGACTCAAAGGAAATGTATTGCTCAGAGTTCTAGAGGCTTGAAAGCTGAAATCAGGGCACCATCATGGCTGATTCTAGTGAGGGCCGGCTTCTTAGCCCGCTGAGTCCTCCCTGTGTCCTCCCTCACTTGACCAAGTGGGACAGGGCGAGAGTGAGGCTGGGGAGAGGGAAGGGGAGGTCTGTTCCTTAAAAGTCCCATCTTTGTGCTCACCTGTGTGTACACATGTGAGTTCAATATAAGGACCCTCTGTCTCTCACCTATGTGTACACATGTTGGATCCAGTGTAAGAATCCTTTATCTCTTACCTGTGTGTGCACCTGTAGACTCCAGCGTAAGGACCCTCTATCTCTCACCACCTATGAGATCCAAAATAAGGATTCTCTATCTCTCTGTATGCACATGTGTGTGTGCACATGTGGAATCCAGTGTAAGGACCCCCCCCCTCACCTGTGTATACCAATGGAAGAATCCTCTATCTATATCTCTTCCCCTTAATTTTTGAGATGGGTTTCTCACTGAACATGGAGCTTGCCCTTTTGCCTAAACCAGCTGACCAGTGGACTCCAGAGATCTTCCTGTGCTCTCCATCCCCAGCACCAGGGTTGCAGAAGTGGGTGGCCATGCCTGGGGTTTACATGGGTGCTGGGGATCCAAACTCAGGTTCTCAGGCTTGTACATCAAGTACTTTACTTGTCTTACTGTAGTCACGTGGTAGTAATGAGGGCGGGCATTGGGATCTCAGCATATGAACATGGGGATGGAAATGTTTTAGTCAATTATTCTTGGAATGACACATCCGTGGTTCTTTACTGGGAACCCTTGGGGTCAGATGTGGTTTAGAGCTCAGCCACTGAGAGATCTTAGGAAGACCATGTGGTAGCTGTCCTCTATCAGGAAGTACTTCCGGTGCTTGTTTTCAAGTGAATTATGTTGCAGCAGCCCAACGTGAGCCGACTGTAAGGACCAGGTAGAGAGAGATGAAGTGACCCAGCAGTTCAGATCAGATAGACAGAGCTTGGCTGCCACACAGCTTATGAAGCAAACACACGGGCCAAAGCTATTTGGACTGGGAAGTTGCAAACAGATGTGTGCACCTGCCTCAGAAAAGGCCTTGGTGATTCCACGCAGATCTCCTAGAGTGGGGGTGGGGGGATCAAGCAGGACCATGCCCCTTCTCCCCTGGAATTTGTTAACCCTAAGATCCCAGG